TGAAAATGCATACATTGTGCAAAAATGAAAAATGATATAAAAATACATAAAATTAAAAACATAATAAATTTAAAAAAAATCCAAAAATAACTTTAAAGTCTGATGCTTTGTTGGAGCACTCAGGATTAAATGAATGAGTGCATTTTCAGTGGATCTAAATGCTTTCCAGAAACTCATCATCAGGTTCTTAAACACTTAGCTAACTACATTAAAGAAACTCTACAATTTCACTTTCAAATCCAAAGTGGGAAGCTGTCACTAATGAATCAGCTATAATGAGAATTCAATTTCATTTCTATTTGGTAAATCATGCACCTCTTCAGTAATGTGAGAGAGGTCAGTGGGAACTGGGGGAGCTTGGAGGTTAGGGTTAAATCCCAGAATGGGGAAAGCAAAATGTTTATTCAAAAGAACTCAAGAGGGCCTCCCCGGTGGCTCAGCGGTTGAGCACTGGGTTGTGAAGCTGCCCGCGGCCTCTGTGGCACCGGTTCGATCCCCGGCTGCTCCCCGGTCACTGGAGGAGGGTCCCACATGGCGCGCAGACCTCTCCTGCCACCCGCTGCTCCCCTCAGCAGTGTACTTCGGTCCTTCTGCCTGCTCTGCTCCCCGCTCTGACTCTGGTGAATTCTCTCACCCTCCTGTGCTTCTGACTATACCCAGTGCTTGCATAAATAAATAAATAAAACAAATCAATCAATCAATCAATCAATCAATCAAAAAAAAAAGAGCTCAAGAAAGGAAGAGTTCATTAACAATACCAATGGCCTGATATACAGGTTCACCTTACTTTAAATATAGTTTTATATTTCCTCTCAAAAGACTACTTTCCTGAGACTGTTTACAAGTAAAATCATTCCTTTAGTTCTGACTATCTGAGCCACGTATATTAAGGGCTGTTATGTACTAAATGTCTTAGCCCCTTCAAATTCATATGATGAAATCCTAAGCCCCAATATGATAATATTTTGGTACAGTACATAGAGAATGAGGTTTTGACAAGGTCATGAAGATGGAGCCCCTAATATGGGATCAGTGTCCCAAGGAGGAAAGGCCATGTGAGACACAAGGTGAAAATGAGAAGTCAACTATCTATAGTCAAATAGCAGGGCCCTCACCAAGAACAGAACTGCCTGGCATCTTGACCTTGGACTTTCCAGCCTCCAGAACTGTGAAAAATAAGTATATATTGTTTCAGCCATCCAGCACATATGATAAAATACTAGTCTGTGTTATTTTGTTATAGCAGCCTGAGCTGACAAAGACAAGGGCAAGATAAAAATTTAAGATCTGATTTCAGGTCATGTCAAAATTACCAATGCATTTGGACTCTAGAGGCTGTGAAGGGACCCAAGAGAACTCATTCCTAGGGGTTTTGGATGGTCATTGCTATGGCAACAGAGAAGCATATCAGGGCAAAGGTGAGCAGGACATACCTTCTGATCTTGCCTAAGAGTGTGTCCTACTTGCTCCAACCCAGCAGATAAAGTGAGACTAAGGGAGAGCCCAGTTCAGGTTCCAAACAGGCAGAGGGAATATCATAAATGTAGCCTTTTCTACTTCGGAAAGGTCTCCTCCAAAAAATGTTTCTAAAATACTCAGTCTCTGAGCTTAGGATACTTTTTGTAAGAAAAATGAGTTTTGTTCATTTTTGTTTTACAAGCAAAAATATTACATGTATACTGGGGAAATATTTAAATATGGCAGATAATAGGAAGTAAAAAAATCAAATTACCTGTTACCCCACCAGCTAGTGCATTATCATTTTTAATATACTAATTGCAACAAATATGTTTACATAGTTTATATAAAATATATAGGTATGCAAACAATGGAATTTAATATGCAACTTTATACCAGTTTTTCCACTTAACAACATAAGCTTAAGTCCATCACAAAATGGTCTTCTAAACATTATTTGGAATGGCTGCAAAGTGAATTTTTGTATTGAGATAACATAAATGAATCCTCTATTGTTGTAAATAATATTGCATCTCATTTTTCATTATTATAAAAATTCTTCCATATTTATGAAGCTAATTATTTGTAACAACTCTACATTATTTCCTTAGGAGAAATTCCTGGTAGTACACTGCTAAATTTAAAGATGTATAAACTTTCAACATTTTCACAACCTGTTACCTAAGCGCACTCTAAAATAATTTTGAGAGTTTACCTGTGTACTAACAGAACTTTCGCTACTCCCTTTATTTTCACTCAAGAAATACTCATTTACCACTCTATAAATACTAGAAATTGTTGCAGGTACAGGGTTAAAGCTAAGCAAAAAATTAACATCTACTCCCATGATCAAATTCAAAGGTAGAGGAAATGGGTTTTGTTTTTTTACAAAGATTTATTTATTTGTTTGTTTGTTTGTTTGTTTATTTATTTATTTATTTTAAGATTTATTTATTTTTATTTATGCAAGCACTGGGTACAGTCAGAAGTGCGGGAGGGTGAGAGAATTCACCAGAGCCAGAGCAGGGAGCAGAGCAGGCAGAAGCACCAAAGTACACTGCTGAGGGGAGCAGCGGGCGGCCGGAGAGGTCTGCGTACCATGTGGGACCCTCCTCCAGTGGCCGGAGCAGCCGGGGATCGAACCGGCGCTGCAGAGGCTATGGGCAGCTTCGCAACCCAGCGCTCAACTGCTGCGCCACCGGGGAGGCCCAAGATTTATTTATTTTTATACAAGAACTGGGGTACAGGCCAGAGGCATAGGAGGGTGAGCAGATTCACCAGAGACAGAGTAGGGAGCAGAACAGGCAGACAGACTGAATTACACTGCTGAGGGGAGCAGCAAGCGAGACAGGAGAGTCTGCCGCACCATGTGGGTATCTCCCTGGCCAGCCACTAATCGAACCCATGCTGCAGAAGCTGCGGACAGCTTCACCGCACTGCGCTCAACCAGCTGTGCCATCGGAGAGGCCCTGAGGAAATGGGTTTTGATGAACTTGCCCTAATAAAACTAAACCTGCAGAATGGCTTCTTGGGTGTTGTTCAAGCCATTGGAAGACAAGCAGCCCTTGATAAGGCCAGTTTCCCCTTACCTAGCAGAGAAACTCTCAATTAAACATGAGAAATGATATTAAACACTTGTGCCAGTTGACTCCTGAGTGAGCACAAAGAATTAAGAAAGTATTACTGGGCCTCCCTGGTGGTCCAAGGGGTTAAGCACCACACTATGAAGCAATCCGCAGCCTCTGCAACACGAGTTCTATCCCTAGGTGGCCAGGGAGCAACCCACATGGCGCAGCAGACCTCTCCTGTCTCACCCGCTGCTCCCCTCAGCAGTGTATTTCAGTCAGTCTACCTGTTCTTTTCCCCACTCTGTCTCTGGTGAATCTTCTCACCCCCCACATCTCTGGCCTGTACCCCAGCTCTTGTATGTATAAATAAAATAAATATTAAAAAAAAAGAAAGTAAAGCATAATATCACAATTTTGTTAATGCATTCATTCTCATAGTTTATAATCAATTGAATATTCTTCATACCAAGTTAAATGTTAAAGGTGCTATGGACAAAAGAAAGTAGAACACCAAACTCTACTGTCAATTATTTCTTCCTTTGCTCTGAGTCAGAAGTCAGACGCTCCTGCGATACCATCATTCTCTGACAGAAGGGATGTGACATCAGTATTGCTTTTGTAGTTAAATGCTCCTGGGTCCCACCTTTGATACTTCAGGCAAGAACTCAGAGAAGCATGTAAGTCACTAGAGAACTGCCAAAATGTAGGACCACAACCCTCCATGGCACAGATCAGTTTACACAGGGCATTTTCTTCCTGCTGCTTAGTTGACTGGGAGCAGGGACCTGCAGTTCACTAGCTGATCGCCACAAAGGTCACTTCTTTTTTTTTATATATTTTTTATTTTTAATTTATATGTATTTTACATCGTTGTTCATTCTTTTCTCAGGTCTCATCCCCATAAAATTCCCACCACCAACACATGTATGAACGATGCATCACCATAGTCTGTGTTCTTCCCTCCCCTATTTTGATCTCTCTCCCTCCCCCTCCCCAGCTGAATGTCTCAGATTTATAGTTTGCCTGCTAGTTTTATCTTTTTTTTTCCTGATCATTTGTTTGGTTTACCTATGCTCCTCCTATAAGTAAGACTATTTGATATTTTTCTCTTTCCCTCTTACTTATTTCTCTGAGCATAATCCCTTCTATCTCCACCCATGTTGCTTGAATGGCATGAGTTTATATTTTTGATTGCTTAATAGTATTACATTGTGTATAAATGCCACCTCTTTTTGATCCAGTCATCTGCTTTTGGACACTTAGGTTGTTGCCATACCTTAGCTATTGTACATAGTGCTGTAATAAATGTTTGTTGGTGATCTTTGGGTAGATTCAAAGATCTCCAAAGAGCTCACATGACTCAACAAAAACAATCCAGTCAAAAAATGGGCAAAAGAGCTAAAAAGACACTTCTCCAAAGAGGAAATGCAAATGGCCAACAGGAATATGAAAAAAAAAAAAAAGTTCAACATAACTTAAAATCAGGGAAATGTAAATCAAAACCACAATGAGATACCCCACCTCACACTAGTGAGAATGACACATATTAAAAAAAAACAGGCAACAGCAAATGCTGGCGAGGATGTGAAGAAAAAGGAAACATCTTATAATGCTGGTGGTAATACAAACTGGTCCAACCACTAAGGAAAGTTGGCAGAGGTTCCTCAAACTACTAAAACTGGAGCTACCATATGACCCAGGGTCATATATGGCTTACATAAAATAGAAAGTAAGATATCCTTGCAGGCAAAATTTCCTGACTTGCTGCAGGTTACTGCTTTCATTTTCTTTAATCAATATATGCAAAAAAAAAGTTTGAATGGTGTTTTAAACTGATATCAAATAGCATAGGCTTTTCTTACATTGATCTAAAAATGTATTAAAAAACCCACAATATTCTCTGATCATCCTAACATAAAAACAATTTGTATTTTCAGTATGCATCAAAACAAAAGTTGAAAACAAAGAACATACCTGATAAAAGTTAGGCCAGAAAGTGCTAATGGCCAATTCTGCCCTGTTCCATGTACGAGTTGGGTCTCCAGATATATTCCAGATAGGACTCCCCAAAGGCCCGTCATTGACTTTCACATAGACACTGAGTAAGCCGGGAGCAGAATTACTCTTGCTGGATACAAAATAGTGAAAATCAATGCAGTGGGTATCGTTTTCTTTAAGTTGAGGTAAGAGAAGGCGGGCTCTCTTCCCCTCAGGCCTCCCTGATGTGTTCACCAACATGAAAGAGCCTGTGAAAACAAAATCAAGGGAAAGTCACAACCGGAACCATTACTTCTAGTCACTTCTTAAAAGCCACCCTCATTTACTTGTGCTTTGCATATCTTACTGAGTCTTTAAAAGTCCCATGTCTTTCATACATTTTTACAGCCAGAGTGTTCTCAAGATTAATAAAGAGAAAAAAAAAATAAAGGGAAAATGCCTTGATGTCATTGCAATTTGTCTCCAAAATCACAGAAATATGTCTGATTTGCAGATATGCAGTGAACAGTCTGGTAGTCACCAGGCACATGCAGTTATCTAAATTAAAATCCATAGTAACTCCAGGGTCTCCATCATATGGCCAACAATTCAAGTGCTTAAAAGCCACATGAGTTAGTGGTCAGCATATTGTTCAGCATAAAACTGAACCTTTGCATCATCTGAGAAATTTCTATAAGGCAGCACTATTCTACAGCAGCCCACCATTTAGTAATCACAATCTCTTTCACATCCTTATAAAATCTAGAGAGAAATAATACATTGGTCTGGTTGTGGAATCTTAGAAAAGTTTATCGGCCCTATGATGCTCCTTGTGTTCAATATAATATGATTTTCCTTGATTCACACCACCACCTCTCTCCCACTGCTATACCAACTACTTCTCCTTAACAGCATGGGTATTTCCGTAACAGGCATAAGACAGAGCACGCAGATGCAACTGTCACTCCAGTTAGCAGATGACCTTTCTGAGAAGGCCCTGTGAGCTTTTCCTGTCTGTACATTTATGAACTAACCCACCCATGAGTGTTGAAGAGCTTCCCAATGGATTCCAGCCTTCCAGATACCCTGGCATCAAACACTTACTCCCCATGTATAAGAAACAAAAATGACAACTAAAATATTATCCAAATTTTATGAACTACCTAAAGAAAGATGAAAGCAAATTGTTGCAAGATAAAAGGGAAAACAGATCGTCATAAGTAACAGGGAAGTAAAAGGGAAAACAGGTTTATTTTAGCAGAGGAGAAATACATCGAAACTCTGAGAGGGAAGTATACCTGAATAGGCAGGAAGATTATTGTCTTCAATTGAGTTTCCCTTTTAAAATTTTCCTTACTATGAACCACAGCTTCAAGGTGGTTAAGTATGTCTGTGTATAGGTTTATGTGTGTTAGTATCTACCTACACACACATACTAGGAAAAGTATGTGTGTTTTATTTATAAGATATCTTAAACAGAAAAATAAGTCTACCCTCCAGGGAATTATCATAAGGACTATATAAAAATAAATATGGCTATCCTTTATAAATTAATAGGCTATTGTTAAGGGATCAATTACAGACTCCTTGTTTATGACTGTTACCCTCACAGTGTTCATACATGAGGTGAGCTAGTGTTAACATTTAAGACAATAGAAATTGAGTCACAGAGAGATAGGAAGCAGTTTATTCTGGTTTTAGGATGAGTTAGTGGTGAAACCAGAACTTTGAGCCTTTGTGTTTGCAGCCTATTACTCATCCTGCCACACTCCAATAACCTCATGTTTTTTCATGTGCCATTTGAACATATATGAGGAAAACAAACCCCTCCACAACAGTGAAGGGAAATTATAGAGGATATTTCAAAACAGAGCAATCTCTCAAGAGGTGAGTGCTTTGCACCTGGAATATGAGCGCCAAGCCACAGGGAAGTGTTACCTATTGAACATATATTCCAGTAATAAGGAGGCACCTCAAATGCAATTTAAGAGCAAGCTGCGATAAGAGAATAGGAACAGTAGCAGCAAGAGAATGCCGTTCAAATAATTTGGGTTAGCTGTGTTCTACAAAATGTATATCTAAGGCTGATCTACCCTATCATAAATCTGAAAAAGATGACTGGATCAAGAAGATGTGGTACATATACACAATGGAATATTACTCAGCAATCCAAAAAGATAAACTCATGCAATTTGCAGCAACATGGATGGAGCTGGGAAGCATCATGCTCAGCGAAATAAGTCAGAAAGAAAAAGAAAAATACTGGAAGGTCTCACTTATAGCAGGAATTTAGAAAACCTAAAGGGACCAGGAAAAAGACTAATTAATACAAAGTAAAAATCAAAATCAACAAGCAACTATAAACCAGAGACACTCTGTGGGGCAGAGGGAGAGGAAGGACTAGGGTCAAAATAAGGGGGGTGCAATTGTATGGGGAATATAACCAAAATGAAAATGCACACATTGTGCAAAAATGAAAAATGATGTAAGAATTATATAAAATATTAAAAAATAAAAAAAATAAAATAAAATATGAGTTAAAAATTATACTTGTCTGCTGTTAGTATTAAAGCAGATTTATTCCACGCTATCATTTGGGACTCTGTTGCCTGCACTATAGTTGTCACGTGCATTCCTCTGATGGGGCTGTGGCATGCCAAAGCCTTGAGGTTAACATGCATCACCAGAAGCTTGAGGATGGCCACACTGCCAAGTACAAAATAAGTATTCCCTATCGTATTTCTAACAATTAAACATGGTTTACCTTCCAGGGGAGGTAAATAAGTAATATGAGAAGGGTGGCAAAGTAGACATTTCCTATATCCTGTGAAGTTCAGTATGAACCCTTGGATGAAGCTGAAACAGAGGAATTTCTTTTCACATTACCATAAATTGGGTAACTTTCTGCCTTTACTATACCAAAAAAAAAAATAGTTTTCCCAGCTAAATAGTATGTGTTGTGATGTGTTCCATTCCAGCACAAAATGTTTCTCAGCATTTTGAACTGTCTGAAGTACACAGATATGGTTATCTTGAGGTAAGTGTGCACTTCAAAGATAATGCAAGTTATAAATACTCAAGTGAGACAAACTTTTATGACCCTTTTGTAAAAAGAGCTGCACTGTGGCCCACCAGCAACTGGGTTCAGTGGAGTGTGCCTGGTTTGACTGAGAGGCAGCCAAGCTCAGTGCAGGTTGGGTATCACTTGCCTGTGGGGTTTGGGTTTTGAAATCTGCACAAGTTTTGAAAATGCTTCACTCAGGTTTGAGTCCATGTTGGCACCAACAATGTTTTGAAAATGGTGCCAGTTTTGAAAACATGTCAATCATGTTTGAAACCAACCCACCCTGAAAGTCAAAAAAGCTGGGCAGCATATGGATTCAGACACACACTCTCACCTGGGACCCTGATCACTTCAGATGTCTACCTTTCATCAAACAATCTTGCCTGGGACTCTCACCTGGGGAGATCTTTGCTTCTGATCCTCTGACAATGCCACCTGAATGTTATTCCTGCCTTCAGCACAACTGACACAGCCTCCTAACCAGCACCATAGGCCAATGCCTGGTGCCTCTAAGAGCTGTCCACTACTACCTGATCTTAACAGGTCCTGCTGACCAGTGCCACTGGCCACTACCCATGCCACCTCTACTGTTATCTCCTATTGCTGTGGCCTCTGGCACAGCCCAGCCTGGCCTCCAGACTATTGCTGCTGGCTGCTGCAGCTCTGCCTCCCTTGTGAACACTTTCAGCTGCCACCCTGAGTTGGATCCTGGTACACACTTATAGTTTGTCCCCAGCTCTAGGCTCTCATGGAAGGGGCAATGCCATCTTCCACAAGCTGTTTTTGGTTTGGACTTCTGAACACTGTAGACACTATTTGGGGTAGCACAGATGGCCAGTTGTGGCCTTAGAAATTTTTTCCTATTTTTTTTTTCTCCCAGTTCCTCCCTTGTAAATAAATGCTGCTGTTATGCTCTGTGTCTGAGTCGTGTCTTGCAATTATAAGCACATAGGTGAGGACCCATGAACCGTGACATTTCCCTGGTTTGCAGAGTTTCACTTTCTTCTTTTTTTCCTTTTTGAGTCAGAATGCAGTCTCTTTTGTCACTTGGCATGTTTCTGCAGATAAGCTAAAAAAGAACTGGCGATACAGGATGATACATACATAACACAGCAGTCTTTCTGGTTCATATATGATTTTTTCAAGATATTAAAGTTTTGAAGTGATCAGGGGCAAATTCTCTCTCAAATGAAAGGATACGTGATGACATTTAAAGTGAAAACCCCCACAAAATTCTCTTTGTTTAGTGTAAGAAGAACTGGCAAGAACTTTTGTGGTTTCAAAGCCCATTCCTCTTTCCACTTTGTTAAGCTATTTTGGAAACTTAGAGAACAGATGAATACACTGAAGCTTCCACTCCTTTCCTGAGTTTAAAAAGGAAATAACATTTATTGGTAAAGAAGACAAAACTGTATCATATCTGTAAGTTGACAGAAAGTTTTGAATGAAAGGAAATGCCTTTAAGAAACTCTAGTTGGAAGGAAGAGCTGGAGGGTATAAAGCTAAGGATGGATTTACTGGGATTCTAAGTGCCAAATGGGAGTTAACGGGACCAGTGTTTTTCTTTTTTAAGTTTATTTATTTTTTTGTGCAGAAGAACAGGGATGTCGAAAAACAGAGGTGCAGGGGATGAGAGTATTCACCAGAGATAGAGTGCAGAGCAGAACAGGCAGATTTACTGATGGGATTTACTAAAGGGAGCAAAGGGCGAGGCAGCAGAGGTCTGCTGTGCCACATGTGGGTTAGCTCCCTGGCAGGGACTGAACTCAGGCCATAGCACTGAGGCTTAACCTCTTGGCCACCAAGGAGGCCCAATATTTTTATCAATGTTACTGTTTTTGTTGGTTCTCTAGTTACAAAGCTGCATAGTTTGAGTAGCTGGCTCTAACCATGTTCTTCTCACAGATCTATGGTTTTCAAGGTGTGATTTTGTGAAATTAGTCAGTTTTCCAAGAACATGTGTAGCACTATGGAACCATCCACTTACTTGCACTGTCCTCCCTTTCATTTGTTCTCACCCTCAGACACAATTCCATCCCTACCACCCTCCCCCCATTGTCTCAGGCAGTCTCTCTTCCTACAAACTTTTCAGAAAACACTCTGAAGTCAACATTCAAGATTCTATAGAGGAAAAGTCTCTATTGAGCACCTGTTTCCTAGGACCCTTTCTTGAGTAGTTCCCATTTTTTCCTTCTCCCAGAGTTT